TGGCCCCCCGTCCCCTTCTGGCCTGGAATGTGTCACAGCACTTCACTTTCCCTCCTGCTCGAGGCCGGCACGTGGTCCGTGTCCCCAGCTGGGAACCTCTCCCCCCCCCCCCACACTTCCCAGGCGGTTGCCTCGGCACAGGCTGACTTGCTGGTTGTGTCTCCTGAACGCAGTTCTCAACGGGCGTGTCCGCCTCCGAGACTGGAGAGAGGAGCAGCTGCAGAGGGAGACGCGGCCGGGACCCAGGCGGGGGCCGGGCGCTGAGGCCTTCAAGACCCGACCCTGCTGGTTCTTCACACACCACCCGGACGGCTGTGCCCTGCCTGCCGCCCACTGCCCGTTCGCCCACGGGCCCAGGGAGCTGCGGCCTGCCTGGAGCGCCAGGAGGGCTGGGCAGCCACCGCAGCCTATGGCCACCACGCCCGTTGAGGCCTGACGCGGCCCGGAGAAGAGACTGAGCGGCCTTCAGGGGCCCCAGTCCCCATTGTTTCCCTGCTCCCTCCGTGCCGGGCCCCGTTCTAAGCATTTCACGTTGCTGACACTGTCCGTCCTCGCCGCTGCCCCATGAGGTGCCTCCACTCTGCAGATCAAGACACCCAGGCACCAAGATCACTGTCACTTGTCCAGGGTGGCCCAGTTATCCTTCTCCTTCTCACCTTCTCTGGACAGCCTGGCCTCGGGGTGGCCTGGCCCCGGGGCGGCGTGGCCTCCGGGCAGTGGGGAAGACTGAACTCAGAATGGCTGAGCTGGGTCGGCGCCGTCATTCTATCGCTGTCGTAGCGGAGGCGAAGCCGCGGTAATCAGGTTTGTCTGTGGTGTTTCCTGTTCCCGTGGTGACCCAAATGCTCTCCGTCATCTGCTCAGGAGGAGACTGATTTGGGGGTGAAGGGCTCGGCCTCCTGCTCTGCCAGCCGCCACCGGCAGGGGCAGCATCCCGGATGGGGCCTGAGGCTGGGCCGGCCTAGAGCGGGGAGGGGCCCCATACTGAGGGAGAGGGAAGAAAGGTGGTGGACCCAAGTGCTGTAGCAACAAAGTAACACAAACTGAACCAAAACCAAACCCGCTGATTCCGGCTCACAACGACCCTGTAGGACACAGTAGAACTGCCCCGGAGGGTTTCCAAGGAGCTGCTGCTGGATTCCAACAGCTGACCTTTTGGTGAGCAGCTAAGCCGTTGACCACTGTGCCACCAGGGCTCCACCACAAACTTAGTGGCTTAAAACAACAGAATCTTGCTCTCTCACGGGGCAGATTGGCTGGGTGCGGCGCTGGAGGGGCTGTGGGCTGAGGGAGGAGACAGGACGGGGTGGACGAAGGGCCTTGAGGGTGGTCCTGTGGGTCTGGGGGTGCTGGGTGCCGCGAGGAAGTGAAGGGTGAGCAGATACCCCCGAGGGCTGGATGTAGGCCCCCAGACAGGCTGGGTGAGCTGGAGGCCTGCTGGGAGAGGGGACCTGGGGCAGAGGGGGGAGGCGGAAACATGAGGGGGGAACCCGGTGCTCATGGGCAACGGGGGTGGCTGTCAGCCGGGTCTGGGGGTCACCTGAGCTGTCACAAGGGAACTGAGGCCTGCGGGCGAGGCAGCTCCACGGGGATAGCGGGCTGAGGGCCGGTGAGGCTTGGGACAGCAGGCGGCAGACAGCCCCAGGCAGGGCTGTGACGTCCTCCCTGGCTTCCAGGTATCACCAGGCCCCACCAGTGGAACCTTCTGGCTGGGACTCCTCCCTGACCCAGCGTGTCTAGAGACCTTGCTTCATGGCCTAGCAGAAGGAGCCACGTGGGGAGCTATTTAGGAGGGGCTCAGGGACCCCCAAGCGGTAACCAGCAGCCGACAGCTTGCAGTATCCCCGGACCCCGCCCCCAGCCCCCAGCCACTGTGAACTGCAAAACCCTGTCCCACTCTGGCCCATAACGACAGGATGGCTGGGGTCGCTACCTGGCCCCACAGTCCCCCCACCACCCCAAACACTTGCCCAGTGGCTGCCCTGGGACCCCGTGCAGGGCACAGCAGACACCCGGGCTGCAGGGACTCAGTGAGGGAGAGAGGTGAGGGTGTACACCCAACTTCCAGGGATTTGAGGCCAGGCCCTGCCCCGTGGAGCCATAACTGTGGGGCTGGGACCCTGGCCTCTGAAGGGGATACTGGCCCTGCTTTCCATCCTGAGCAAGGCCCAGATCCCGGGGCAGGGACCCTGCTCACCCAGCAAGCGTGTTCCTTGGAACTTGGGATGCAGGCCACAGAAACCAGTTCCGCTTTCAGCCAAGAAAACAAAAGTCATTAACAGGGCCGTCACCGAGCCCACAGGCAGGGCTTCGGCCAGAGCTCAGAACCTTCTAGAAGCAGGCGTCTGACAGCCCTCTGGCTCTACTGCTCCCCGTGCTCCTCCCGGATTCTGCCTCGTTCTCTCGGGCTTGTGGTGTGACACGGAGGGGTCGGTCACTGCTGGTGACGCGGGTTCTAGATGACCGTTCGGTCCCTGACAGGCTCCTCTTTCCTGTTAGATTCCCAGGGCTCTCTCAGGTGAATTTGAGATGGGGAGGGAGCCCACCCTGGGTGCTCCTGGGGACACAGCTCTGTGGAGGGTCGGTGCTGGGGGGCATCATGAGGGGCTTGGGGTCCTGCAGGCCCAGGACAGGCCGAGGAAGCTGGTGTGGCTGCCACCTCCCAGGCCTAGGAATCTAGACCCGGGCCAGGTGAGGGTGGAGGTGGGCCTGGCTGGAAAGCCCTGTGTGGTGTTTAACGAGAGCTCCAGCCTGGACGGCTCAGCTGACAGGCTCGGTGAGGCTGGACAGAGGCCAGCCGGCCTGGTGAACGTGGTCCTTGGCTCCAGGAACCCCGCGCAGGGCTTTTGCTGGGCCTCCAGCTGGAAAGGCCCCAGGCAGCGTCCTCCTACCCAAGCCGGCCATGGAGGCAGGACCCATTCTGGGACTGTGCTACTGCCTCGTGGGAGGCCGAGGCTGAGCAGGGACAACTTCGGGCTGGCAGGGACCCAGGCATGGAGCCAATCCCAGCAGCCCCTGCTCCAGGTGAAGTCAAGTTATGTCTGTCTCAGCATGGGGCAGCCCTGCTGGAGCCTGCAGTTGATGCTGAGGACTGTCCCAGCTTCCCTCAGGCGGGGTGGATCAGCAGAGGCTTCCACTTCATGTCCAGTGGAGTCAAGGCCTGACAAGGGACAGGGTGTCCTAGTCAGGCCATTTCTGGAAGGATTACCTTCTGCTTTAACCCCTGCTGTTGAAACTGTGTCCCTTTGGCCGCCTGGAGCTTGGTGATGTCCCCCTGGAAAGCAGGTCCTGGGCCAGCACCAGGGGTCCCTGTAAAAGTGGGGATGTAGGGAAGCCCTATACCCCACCTCCCTGTGTTTCAGGAACACCAGGAGCCTCTGTAAAAGCAGGAGTGCAGAGGAGCCATCACCCCACCTCCCTGTGTTTCAGGAACACCAGGAGCCTCTGTAAAAGCAGGAGTGCAGAGGAGCCATCACCCCACCTCCCTGTGTTTCAGGAACACCAGGAGCCTCTGTAAAAGCAGGAGTGCAGGGGAGCCATCACTGCATCTCCCTGCACCGTCAGGCACACCAGGGGCCTCTGTAAAAGTGGAGGTGCAGGGGAGCCATCACCCCATCTCCCTGCACCATCAGGAGCATCAGGAGTCCCTGTAAAGGTGGGGGTGCAGGGGGAGCCCTGCACCCCGCCTCCCTGTGTCATCAGGAGCTGCCCACAGAGCTGGACACACCTGGTTCGAACGGGTGCTGCAACTTGTGTGACCCTGGACCGGTGGCTGGCCCTCTCTGGCTGCTTTCTCATCAGTAGAAAGGGGGTGATGATGACATCCACCCCATGGGGCTGTGAAACAAGACGTTACCATCTTCCTTCAGAGCGACCTCAGGTACTTACTCCGGTGGTCTGTGTCTGCCGGCAGCACCAGGCCCTCTCTGGGTCCCCTTTGAACTCTGTTATGGATTGAACTGTGTCCCGCAAAGTGGAATGTGGAAGTCCTGACCGCTGTGAATGTGGCCCTGTTTGGAAATAGGAGTTTTCGAGGCATACCAGAGTAGGGTGGGTCCCCGAGCTGGGAGGCTTGGGCGGGGAGTGGGTGAGTCAGATGGTTCTGTTTGGGGGCGAGCCCTGAGTCCTGGCGGAAGGAGGCCTGTGAGTCACAAGACCCTCGGGGAGACTGTCTGTCACTTCCTATGCGTTTAGATCCGTGCTTTTCAGGTTATCAATGGGAAGGAACATTTTTTAAAAATTTCCGATCTGTCACAGACCAGCACGTTGTAAAACACAATGAAAATAAACCGCTAGAAAGTTTACGTAAAAGGCAGGCATTCAGAAGACAAGCACAGAAAGGACCCAAGTGTCCGCCAACAAATGAATGGACAAAACGTCACCCATCCGTACGATGGACTATAACTCGGCCACGAAGAGAAGTGGGGCTCTGAGGCGCGCTGCAGCGTGGATGAGTCTTGAAGATGTGATGCTGAGACGTGCTAGGCCCAGGAGGACAATGATTGTCGATCTCGCTTGTAGCCAGGAGAGGCAAATGCGGAGGCCGAGAGAGGAGGGGTTGCCAGAGGCTGGGGGGAGGGAGTGGGGAATCAGTGCCTTAGGGGCACTGAGTGTCTGTCCGGGGCCTGGGACAGCTTTGGAAACACCAACGGTGATGATTGCTCGACACCCTCAGTGTGGTTACAGCCCCTGACCGCACACGTGAAAACGATAAAGATGGTGTCAGTGTGGTTACAGCCCGACTGCACACGTGAAAATGGTTAAGATGGGAGCTTGTATGTTGCATGCATTTTACCACAGTTAAAAAAAAAGACAAACACGTTTTTATTCTTACTGTAGGATTTAACAATAGACATAAAATGACTGGAATTGCCACGGAAGTGTCTGCATGCTTACTTCCCATCTCTGCACAGTTTGCAGATGGTTGGGTTGGTGGACCTCACTTGGACTCTGACCAGCTGGTGCAACCTTGGGGTGACATTTTGTCCTTGGGCGCCAGAGTGGGTGGCCTGGGCTGAGAAGGTCAGAGCCACGGGGCACTGGAGGTCCTGCTGGAGCACAAGCACAGGGCCAGCTGGAGCTACTCAGTTCTGCTGTAACAGAAATCCCACACATGGGTAGCTTTCATGAACAGAGATTTATTTTCTCACAGTTCGGGAGGCTAGAAGTCCAAACTCGGTGCTGGCTCTAGGGAGACGCTTTCTCTCTGTCGGCTCTGGGGGTGGTTCTTGTCTCTAAAGCTTCTGCTCTCCATTCCTTGGCGTCCTTTGTCTGGCACCTGCCTTCCGCTGTCTGTGCTGGCTTGCTCCTGGCGCCTAACCTGCTCCTTTTATATCTCAATAGCGATTTGGCTTAAAATGCGCACCCTGCACTGATAGGACCTCGTTAACACAACAAAGAAAACCCTGTTCCCAAATGGGATCACATCCACAGGTATAGGGGTTAAGGGTTTACAATACATATTGGGGGGTACAGTTCAATCCATAGCAGCTGTCCGGGCCAGAGTGAGCCCTGAGAGATGGGTGGAGGTCACCGGCAGAGCAGGGAGGCTGTCCCTCAGGACAAGGAAAATGGTTGGGAGCTGGCGGCTTCCACACTTGGGCTTCCTGGGAAGGAAGGCTGAACTTCGGGGGTGGTTGCTCTTGGGCTGCGTGAAGAGTCAGACGGAGATGGCAGTGTTAAATCCTCCCCCTCAGGCAGTGTTGTCTCTTTTGTGTTTTTAACCTTCTGAGAAAGTTCTGCGCTTCTCTACGACTTTGGCAGGAGGGTCACAGAGAGGGGTGGGGAGGTAAAGGGAAGTGGTATTTGCTCCTCTTTCCCTCTGATACCCCTTGAGCAGCATAGCAGCAGCAACAGCAAATCCGGGGGGGGGGGTTGGTCGGCTACCTGTGAGTCCCAAGCCACAAGCAGAAAGCTAATTGACAGCCTGGGGAGACTGACAGGCATGGGGAGCACAGGAGAGAGCACCATCCCAGGACGAGGAGCAGTGCTTCAAGGGCATGGATGATCCTGCGAGTGAACTTCCCCGTGTTCGCAGATAGTCAAGAGGAGGATAAAGCTGACACTTGAGGCACATTAATAGCAGCTACCATTTCTTGT